CGCGGCTGGCCGCCCCGTTACTCGCGCGCGGGCCGGGCGGGGCGGGGGGCGAGCCCGCGTCCTCGGCGTCCGCGCCCGGCGGCGGACAAGTTGCCCCACGGTGTTGAGCAGCCCCGACACCAGCGAGTCCGTGCTGGAGCTCTCGGTTGCTCAGCACTATGGTGTTGCTCCCAACTGGAGCTGGTGCTGTAACTCGGTGGCGGTGGACAGCACCATGCCGAGTCGGACATGGAGGTTGGGCGAACGGGCGACAGACGAGAGCCGAGGCCGTGCTGGCACCCGCCAGAAGCCGGGCCAGGGGCGTCGGGGCGGGGCGGGACCTCCGGGGGCGGCACGGCGACGGGGAGGCCGCAGCGGGCGGGCGTCGCTCCTTCACGCTGCCGAGCGCACGCCCGCCCACGCATCCGTCTCCGGCTCAGACAGGTCCGTCAGATCACGGCATCTCGCAACATCGCGTCTTGCAACCGAACACGCGCACACTTACTTCAAGGAAAACATACCACCCTCACTGATTTCTTATTAATCTGGAATTAGTTAAAACAGGGCGTCTCCAAAAAAGGAACGCGCAAACACGTAGTTGTATAAAAAGCACCAGATTGGTTACTTGTAAAACATCTAATAAGCGGATAAACACGGTCCAATAAACTTACGTTTTGATGAAAGTTCTATGCATCAGTTTCCCCGTTATTCTTGGGAAAAAGAGACAAAATTAAATAAACTTCGAATGATTTCCAAAACTAAATCCGCGGTTCGAACACGAGTGAGGTCTTGGAGCCTCGGTTCTCTTTCAAAAAGCAGAGGAACGGTGTGTGGGGACGGGTTATCAGCCCCAAGAATATCTGTTACGTGGCACTGCTGTGCCGAGAGCGTGCGCCCACCTGGAAGCTGGCGGGGCTTGCGTCTGGCGGAGATCGTCCGCGGGTGCTGGGACGGGGCCGTCGCGCGCCGGCGCGGCGGCGGGGCGTTTCGGGGGCCTGGTCGTTGCCTGGTCGTCCGCGTCGGCGCGGGCGCTGGGCGCCGTGGGCGGCGGGGCGATGTGGTGCGCCGAGGCGGGAGGCCGCGAGGCTGCCTCAGCGGCTCTGCCACACGGCGTCCTCGTCGCGTATCACCAGCTCCTCGTCGCCGGGGCAGGAACACGTCCTGCGTTCCCCTCGTTCCACCAGGTTCTCCACGCTCGAGCTGTCCCAGCAGGCTGCCCTCTGCTCGGCGTGGCCCAGCGGCGCCGTCGCGCCGTGGCCCGCCGCCGCCTTCCGCCACCCCGCGCCGCGCCCCGGCCCCGCCCCTGGCGGCGTCCTCGTCGGCCGCGCGCGCATGTAGGCTCCGCCACCGCCAAGCCGCATGGGCCGTTTGTGCGCCGTCTCGGCGGACGGGGGCAGGGGCCGGGGCAGGGGCCGGCGCGGGGCGTCGACGACAATGGAGTCTCCAGGCCGAATCTCGTGCGCGAAGTCCAGCGACCTTGCCGCCGCGATGTGGCTGCGGAGAAGGTCCTTCCTGCGGAATACAGTTCGCAATGTAATCTATATCTACACAGGCATTAAAAAAAGTGGCTTCTTTCCTCACTATATTTGGAAATGATACCGGGATTCTAATGAAATTTGTTATTAACCCGCGTTATCATAGGAACGGGAATCTGGCTTCGCAAAGGACAATTCAGCACTTGCTCTGGAAATATTTTCGATCAAATTTTACCTTGCTCGTTTTACTGCAAGAGATAGAAAGGGGGAGGCGGCGGAGGCGTATTATTTTGCGTTAAAAAAAAAACTAGTTTTACATGCACAAAACCCATCTTCCTGAAAAACCAGGGGACCGAATACTTGGGAAAAAATTTTTTGGCCTTTTCCCCGCGGGAAAAAAGTTTTAAATCCTCTTCGTGTGGCCGCCGCGGCGCCGCAGCCCCCCGCGCGCGGCCCCGCCCCCGCGGACGACGCCGACGCCCGCAGCCTCTCCGAGGAGCCCGTCACGCCCAAGATGGCGCTGCTGCGCCCCCACAAGCCGCTGTCGCGCCAGATCAGCCACCCGCCGCTGCCCGCGCTGCTCGCCATGCAGGAGCACCACGTGTGCGAGAGGTGAGGCCACGATACCCGCGTGGACGCATGCACCGATAATGCATTTATGCAGTAAAATCATCTTAGATCTGGTGAAATCCACAACTTTGCCCTCTGTAGTACATTTAAATACATATTTAAATATACATTTAAATATCCCCGTATAAAGTATTATATACACCCATCACAACACTTTCTCCTTATTGTCGCGAAGTACAGTCATCCGCGACTTTGCATTTTCTACACCTCTTATTTCAATGTTGAAGGGTAGGATTAGTAATAAACGTTAATTTCCAAACAAAATCTTCCGCTAAATACATTTAGCAATGAGCATTACAACAATATTTGAACACAATTTTGAGAACTCCTTAATACAACTTAATATCATGATTAGGGAAGTTCCTTTCTTTTTCGCATCCTCGTTTACATTTGGAGGGGTCTTATGTGAGTTCAAGTCTGCTTTCTGATTTGCAAGATGAATTCGACTGTATATACTGTGTTTTTTCCTGTTAAAAATCATGCATAATTCATATACAGGAAATTGATATTAGGTACAATGAGTACATAGGAACACACCCTACAAAATAAAAAATTAAATATATTTAAATAAATATACTAAGGAAATAGGATTAACAGTCATCAAATTCAAGAAAAGTGTACAGAATAAATTGAAATTTACAGAAATATTTTGGAAAAATACTATTATTATTATTAAGAAAATAGGCAACTTATGCACCATAAAATCATGCCTGTAATGTAATGATAAATAATAAATGTAATGATGTAATTGAAAATTGGATATTGATATTGAGCATACTTTCTGACTACTAGGACAATATACATACATTGGCATTTAAATCTGGTCCCTAATCTTTGACAAAATTCCTGTAATCACATTGTTAAAAATATGTAACGTATAGAACAGCTTAACAATGTCCCAGGATAACAGATAAACCAGAAACAAATTTTGCGGAATTAAACAATTATACTATTGAAAATACCATTTTAATTTCTCTAAAAATTGTTTGTAACCTACCTTTTAATGCAGCATTATAAGAAAATTCAGAGTTAAAACTGGGCTGTGGTGGAAAAGTTTTTCCTTGCTGAACTATGGTTACTTACACAATTACTGTGGGTACTTCTATTTCTTTCAATGTTGACTACAGAGGGCAAAGTTGTGAATTTTACCAGATCTAAACAGGAGACAATTAATACTTTTTTTTAAATGTCTAAATGAAATTTGAAACCTGGTAAAGATTCTAGGAATCTCTAGTGATTTATTACAATTTATGAAATTAGATATTTGCTCCAGAGAAGTTTTCTGAAGCAAATATTACTTTAATGTATAAAAATATGTGTAAATGAGTTTTGCATTGACTAATATTTTTTTCTTTCTTGTGATAGGATATGATGTTAAATGGAGTATCATATTTGTCAATTTGTTTACAGATAGATTAGCTTAAATTCATGACTTTTCACTTATTATTGAACTCATTCTTTTGCAGAGAGCGATTTCCAACACGACTGCTTGGCCAACATGAAGTCAGTGCTTCCCCTCGTCCTCACAATCGCCTTTTAAGTCGTGTGGCTGCGGCAACAAGCCCAACTCATCCCACGGGACCCCTGCAGTGCCCACCTACACCCACTCATCATGCCCGACCTGTGCATCGGACTCTTGCAGCACAAGACAGTGTTGAAGGTGCCACAGGAATAGCAAGTAGACCCCCAAGTCTCCATACACCATATCGCAGCCAGGAACCCCAGAGCAGCAGTCCCAGTCATTCTCAACGACCAGCTCTGTGCAGTCTGTTTTCTAGTAGTCTCCTTCAGGAACCAGTGGGTCAGTGATCTTGAGTTGTTTCAGCTATTGTATAAAATATATGTCTAGTATCTGAATCATTGAAGATTAATCTAATTAATTTAAAACTAAGTTTCTCATTAATGGTACACATACATTCATACAAATTTCTCTTGCATTATATTATTTTATTAGGGTTATATACGCATGCATTGAATTGCAAATGACTGTCTTTTAGTAATTTAATAAGTGTGTGTAAACATGCATGTGTGTGTGGGGGGAGGGGGCACACACATGTGCGCATGCATGCATGCCTGTGTGTGTGTATTTCAATTTGGTTCATTTAGTTTATTAGACAAAATGTGCAATCTTCACTCATTATCTGTAGAGATCAACTTTAATGATGTGTACTTTTCATCCCAGTTGGTAACTATGGTCTGGATGGGTTGTCAAACATGCCCTCCACTTCCTCTGGGCCTGCAATGCCGAGTGAGGGCCCCCTTCGAGTGGGAGAAGGCTGCTCCATCTTGCCCATTCGACATATCAACACCACCCGTTTGCCGTCCATCCCAGAGAGATCTGCCAAAAGTCAGCGGCTGGAACTGCCATCTGAGGAAGAGCCTCTACCTCCATGTATGTACATCACATCCTTAGTGAAATGTGAATTGTTATACCAAAAAGCTTTATATACAAATTTAATTATTAATACTGAGACTGGCTGAATTTTCTCTGGACAGAGCCAGCATTGCTGCTATCTCTGCAGTGACTCTAAGCGGGAGGTCTTAGGGTTCAAGAAGTGTGAATTTATGACGCTAGTTAGATTGAAATCAACTGCTGTCAGGTGGAGAATTCTAGTGCCCAAATTAGCAGTTTTTCCTGATTTCTCCGGTCTATGTAAGGCAAATGCCAGGGAACCCTCGCAAACAGGCCACAGTTTGTGCGCAACTGCTTCTTGTACCTTGTTTTATTCTCTCCCCCTACAAACACATCTTTAAATACATACTACCACACATGACAGGAGACCAGACAGGAGCTTTTACTGTGATTTATGCAACTCGGCCTCTGGCAGGTATCAGCTGTTCACGGTTTCATCCAATCGGGAGCTTGAATGTCACCATAGTGAAATCGCTACGATGATGTTCAAGCTTCCAAAACTTGCGCAAATCACAGTACGTTGAGCTTGTCTTGGATAAGACAGTACCCTGCTGGGGAAGATACCTGGAGAGGGACACTCCCAGTAAGCTGATATGTATGTTGACGCCCGATCTCTGCATTCAATGCGAGAGGAACATCGCCCCCAGGCATTAAAAAAACAACGTTCATTACACTTTCGAGATTAATGATCAGTAGACCATATGTATGTATGTACGAAGTAATATACATAGTATAGGGTAAGATAATGCTGAGGAAAATCAATTTTGAGATTTCAACAGAAATACACGCGTGTCCCTCTGTTCATCGGTCTGTTTGTCCATCTGTTCGTCCGTCTGTCTGTCTCAACACCTTTAGCGGCTATACCATGCAAAGGAGATTTTCCCAAGAAACCCCTGTCCATCTGGCTCGAGTATTGCTTTGAGATTTTGAAAAACATTCTTTAAAATTTGGGGGTATTTTACATGAAACCTCCCTGGACATTTTCAAAATTTTCTCAAAAGCAGTTCCAAATTTTTCATTGAAATTTCTTGTAAGAATAGAGTAAAATAATATTGTCAAGGTGGCATAGGTCCATGATAACTCTGAATTTGTCAAAATTTCAAAAGTTTGAAATGTTTCTGATGTCTTCCTACAACTACAAAATTAAAGACAGAGAATTTTCCTTCAAATGAAATTTGTTTATCATAATCAATTCATTCAGTAAGATCATGTACATTGCTTGAAAAGTCTAGTAGTTTTCGAGTAATATTGCATGTAACATTTGCAATTTTAAAAAATAACAAAAACCATTTCTATTGTTTTAAAACGGCTCCTAATTTTTGCTTTTAAACTTTTGGTTGGGAGAGTGTTAAGCACACTATTTAGATGACGAAAACCCCCCATTGCTTTACTCTTTTTTGTTTTCTCTCAAAACTTACAAAAATTTCATTTTTTTAAAATTTCTCTCATGGCTCCAAATTTTTTCTGCAAGCTTTTCCAACACATTGTGCAAATTGTGTTGTGTACTATGACAAAATGTTCATTTTTCTGTATTCTTTTGTTTTTCAAAAATTACACAACTAATTTTTTTGAAAGATTTCTCATGGTGGTAATGTGTACCATACGACCGTCTAACGACTTGTATACACAATTGCATTTGTCACTAGACATGTTTGAAACAACTTCATATGAAGTTTTTCGAAAACTCAATAGTTTTCTGTGAAGAGAGATTCAAATTTCACATTCACAGTAAGGCTTAAACACCATTTTCTTGAAAACAGCTCCCAATTTTTTAATGAAAAGTTAGGATGAAGTTTTGCTCTTGTTTAAATATTTTTAGAGTAATAATTCGATTCTACTATTAGGAAACAAAAAAAATAACAAAGTAAAAAAAAAAAAAATTACTTTTGGCGGCAATAGATAGCAGCTGGCAAGAGAATGTGGCAGTCCGAATAGCTAGCCAAAATCAAAGGTAATAGAAAACTAATACGGGAAAGTCCATGCCATTCTGTAGCACCACTAGTTTACCTATTCCTAAAAGTACTTTAGTGAGTCATAGTTTAAACCCTTATACATTTTGGGGAAATATGGTATTATTTGTTTATATCAAATTGCATTTATTTCTATTGCAGATTGGGAAGCACGGATAGACAGTCATGGTCGAATATTCTATATCGATCATGTGAATCGCACAACAACATGGCAGCGTCCAACTGCCAGTACTTCAGGACGGTCTAGGCCTTCTAGTGAATTGCAAAGACAACAACTTGATCGCAGGTACACCTTTGCATTGCAATACTATTAACTATTAAATACAAAATATAACTATTAAAAACTATTGCAAATGTAAATATATGATTTCATTAAACAATTAAAAGGATACTTCAAATACTGTTATAAAGGTAGATTCTGTCAGCATGAAAAGTATCATTCAGTGGGAGATATTGTGAGAAATTCTGGGGAAATGTAGAAAAATTATTAATTTTTGCTTGGAATTGCATTGCATTTGCATTTTCTTAACATTGCTTATTGATATGTAATTGGCAAAAACCCAAAAAATTATAGTGATTTGAATGATTTGCCATGAATGTATATTAATTTTGCATTAGGGTATATGGATATTTAGAAGCTTTTGGATATGATCTTTAAGATGGCAAAACCTCATTTCTCAAAAAAAAAAAAGATTTTAAGTGAACATGTTTCCAGATGTTAAATAAAATACACTCTACGCAATGCAAAAGCCTATATCTCAAAATATGACCTCAGTCACCATAGAAGTGAATAATCAGAACCCAATATGTTATAATTTTAAGTTGCAAAACGTTGTTGTTTTCCAGAAAATATTTGTTTTCTGAGATACAAAATTTTGCCATCTTAACACTAATACGTAAGAATTTTGTAGGAAACTCTCAAAATCACTGTAAATGAGAATAATAAATCATATTTTCAAAATTCTCCTACTCTGAATTAAAATAAATTTAAAAAAAAATTAGTATTCTCAAAATATTAAATGCGAATTACATTTAGCTACCTTTTGTGCTATTTTCATATGTTTAAACTGTATTCAGATGTTTGGTGAAATATATGGAAAAAAAAAAAAGAGAAAATAGAAAATAATGTTGTGTTTGCACGTATAATGTGCTTCGCTGTTTTGGCTAGCTCATAGCATTTTAACATGCTAATAAAAAATAAATTCATTTTATTCTTTGTGAGCATCTACACTAATCTGGTATTTCACAAATCAAAATATTTCTGTAGTAGAATACAAAGATACCTCTACAAAGATGTTATAATTTTCAGATATCAAAGTATACGGCGCACTATAACATCTCGCCGCCTGGAACCCGATGATGGAGCTGCTGTTCCTGGTAGTTCTGCGGTGCAGGACCCGTCTGGACAACCTGAAGCAAGCAGTAGTGGCATTGGCAGTAGCAGTGGAAGCTGTTCTGGCAGCAGTGCCAGTGGCTCTGGAAATGTCACTTCCTCCTCCACGGATTTGGTGAACCACATGCCAGCAGTCAAGTTCATTTCTCGACCTGACTTTTTCTCAATTCTGCATATGAATGCTGTAAGTAATAAGCAGTCCGTATGAAATAATAAAACTGGTATATTTTTTTTCTTTTTTCTCCCATACTTTGCAAATGTAGTGCACTAAGAGGTGGAGAATGCAACAATATAATCTCAGAATTTTGTTTGTTTCTGGAAAGAAGAAAATGGTTCATGGCCAGTAAATCGTGAAAGGGTGATGTTCATAAAATAACAAATATCTTGAAAATATTAATTGTGAAGAAATATTTTTTTGCATTCATACAATTAAATAAAAATATAGATTGATTTTCAGTTTCATTCTTGCATTCTAGAAATGTTTCTGTTTAATTTTGGTATGCCATTAGAACTGACATTATTAGTTACATAATGTTTTTAATTCTTACGCAGTTAAAAAAATTTCACATGTAACACCATTGTGTTTCCTCTGGACATTTCGCATCGATGTTTTGAAAATAAAATAGTGTCTTAGAACCCACCATCACATGTTTGAGACAACCTGTGCTGTAGAGTGAGATAATCTTCAAAAATGTACCAGGGCAAATGAAAAAGTTGCTTTTTGTTGATGATCTAAGAAACGTTACTTGTGTACTTCTCAAAACACAAAACTCCCTCTTCCTTTTTTTTATATCCTAGGATACATAATTCTTTAATTACACATTGTGCCTTTGTAGGTTGAATATATGTGCGCTAAGTTTGTTTCATAATTTGTAAAATTCAAAATGTATATCCTAAAACTCTTTGATGAACTCTAGGAAGGTAAACCTATATCAAGCAGTACACGTATGGGGTTTTGTCTTGGAGTCATATAATTCATTCAATACAATCATCTTTCCTTAGCATATTATACTCAGAGGGGATGCTTTATACGTAATTTTACATTACAAAATTTTCTTAGCTTGTCCTGCTTACAAAGTTGAACATAGTTATTATTTACATAAATATTTTTCATGTTTCAGGAGGCTCTTGCTCTCTATAATCGAAATGGCTCCCTGAAGCATATGGTGTCAAAAATCAGAAGAGATCCCACAGCATTTGAACGTTATCAGCACAACAGAGATCTTGTGGCTCTTGTCAACCTATTTGCAGATAACATGAGAGACTTACCTCGTGGTTGGGAAACCAAGTTTGATCGGAATGGCAAAGTAAGTTGAGAATAGGTATTTCAACAAAATATTTTGCATGATTTTTCTCTCTCAATAACAAGTTTTCACATTTGTGCTTGATTGACCATAGTGCAATGGTTTGTAGAGTAAATAGATGATAACTTAATTATGTATGTACATTGTGATAAAAATTAATATAATAATCTTTCTTAATAATCCCAATAAAATAGTTCTTCTAATCTAACATCTATCTTGTCAAAATACTTATAACAATGACAGTTTCTTTTCATACTCATTTCTTAATGTACTTGTACAGATTTGGTTCATTATTCTACTTTAGATTAGATTATGCATTCATGCAAATTGTTGAATATTCTTTCATTGATCGTACTGTAGTTATAATCTTTGCATTGAAAAAGGCTGCAGAAATTAATTTGTAAAGATTGGAACTCTTTTAAGTACTGTTATCTAATATCTTCTACTTAGACTAACCCTGCTTTTAGGAGCATTTGTCTAAATAACTCATCTTCTAGCATGGGTGTATGTGTGTGTGTGCATAGCAATTCTTCATAGATCACACGTCGAAGACTACCACGTTCATTGATCCCCGCATTCCCACCGAGTCTCCTTACCTGCACCAGCACAAGCTGTTGCTTCCTGGTGCCAGGAGGCGCAGCCGCAGCGCTGGTGAAGAAGAGCTCGCTCATTCTAGAGGAGTAAGTCTCTGGCATTTCGTTCTTGGTGTTATGTCTTTTTGTGGTAGTTGTATTGTCCTCGTCATGCACATTTTGTGTTTTGTTTGTACTTCATTTTAGTGCAGCATGTCAAGTATGTAGTTTATTCATCGCCAGGAAAAATAAATCTCACTATTTTATATTACTGGAATTTTAATTTCAACAATAGGTTAACTTGTGTTTTGTAGTTTTTGTGTTCATGTTGTAGTTATGTCTCAATTCGCAATGTTGTTGTAGTGTTTGATTTTTTTTGTAAACTTCATAATGGATTTCATGTTTACATTCATTCTTTAAGAATTTATTATGTGTGCTCCATTTTCAAAAATATTTTTAACATTTACAATGACTTACAAATCAAAACATAATATTTCGACATTTGTTTCTATCATTTCGAGTCTTCTGCAAGTGAAACAACTTTTCATTATCAAACTTTAGTTTATTTATCGCAATTTTTGGTGAATATTAATTTACATTAGCATGATGCGCACATTTTCTGCACATAAAGAAATTTTTCAGAATCATCCTCTGTGTTAAATATTTTGCTTAATGTCAATATTCTTTTATTTATCTGTATAAAATATTTATTGGTTCCTGCATTTTGTGGCAATATTATCACTCACTATCTATTATTCATTTAATATAATAATGTCTGTATAAATGCTTTCTCTATAAATATTTAAACTTAAAATTAAACTTCAGGCTTTAAGGATAGGTTTCAGATAGCAGCAATGATTGTTACATACTGCAATGATTCTTAGTCTTCTGTTTTCATTCATTTGATGCATGAATTTTAACTTAAGAAAATATATGACTCTTTAGCTGTACGAAATTTTGAATTGATATGAAACTTGAATTCAATTGAATTCAATCACACCCAGCTTCACTCTAAAGAAAAGCTAGTATGTTAGAATGAATGGTCAAAAAATATTTAGGGAAAGTGTTGCAAGAAATATATTTGAGGATTTTTTGTCTTTTTAAATTAAAAGCTGTAATGGTCATGGAAGAATATATATTCTTGACCCTTTGTTTATGCTGATTTAAAGCAAAGATGTCCTTTAATAATTGCGGCCCTACAAAATTTAATTAAACCAATATTTCTTCTATATTTTTTAGTTCAAGATACATATTTAGGGTTTTATTTCTCAAAGTCATTTTTGCCTTATTGTGTATTCAGCAAATACTCAATGCATTAACATATCTTCCAAAATTTGTGATGTAAGTTCTGTTGTAACAAAATGAATTTTTGCTTTTCACACATAATTCTTGAGCCATGTGTTGGATGTTTTCACAAACTCTCCCTTTATCTTTGTTTACCATTATCTTCTTTTCATGCTCCACTGCTTGTGATAGTAGTTCGTATACTTGGAACTGTACTTAACTGCTTTCTCAGGCTTCACTATCTTCTAGACTTCCTGTTTAAGATAAAAGTAATGCATTCAGTTCACTTTACCTACAAAAGATTGGGAATTTCTTTGTTCTAAGTATAATTGAGTGGTTGAAAAGTCTTTGAACTTTGGGTAAATTTTGTACTAGAAAATCTGAATACAAGTTTTGTTTCTTCTCTTTATTTATATTTATTTCAGAATGTTTCACATGCAAGGAAATTACATCTATTGTATTTACTTGTTTGGTGATTGGAACAAAATGTATCTAAATTAAATTGACTCCAATTATTTTTTCTGTGACTTCATAGCAAAGACTATAATAAAAAATATATGCCTTGAGGCTTATTAAAGGCAATGAGTTGTAAGGAGTTAATTTACTGATCTTATAGATTTTTCATTTACTATGAATGACAATTGCATTTCATTCAAAACTCTGCAATGTTGGAAAGAACAAAATTTTAAAATATGAATGGGTGCATAGCCACTGAAATATAGCCTAAAATAAACACATTTTCCTCAGAATTTTGCAACTGTGTACAGCAATTCAATGTCAACAGATGTTTCATTTCAAGGGTGTAAAAAGTGAAAATAGTTCAAATAATACGAGGAATTAAATATTCTCAAATTCAGGAATTTCATCAACCCATATATTCCATTTAAGACTCGTGGACGCAGTCACGTTGGCCTAGTGCAGCAAGCCACCGTCAGATAGTGCTGCTATGATAGATGGATTACCCGGAATGTATACTCTAGCTAAGTGATTGTTGGGAAAGTCTTGATGCGACCCATATATCTGACATTTTAATTGGCAAAAATTAATATCGTCAAACGGCAATCGAACTCGTTTCTTTGGAATTTTAAGACGGACTTATCGTATGATGATCTGGTACTATTTACCGACAACCTGCGTATTCGGAAAAGTGGACTATTTTGTAATTAAAGAAAAAAAGCATCTTGTAAGCGAATATTACACTTCTCTGTATTAAAAGCGCTTTCACATACCACATTTTCTCTATACTTTACGAAAATTAAGTATTTGTGAGTTATAAAATGAAATTATTTTAGACCAGAGGAGCTTTTGGTCATTGTTCTCTAGGTGATGAATTTATTCAATTACGATCAGTTGGGATTATATATTGGGTTTCCTTGCAATCATGCACGTTTCCTTACGAATTGTGTTTGAGAACATTAAATAAATTAACTTCATAATGAGTGCAACTTTCAAGGAACGTGTAGTAAGTGTATAGACAATTTTGTGAGAGATAATTGATTTGTTAGTAACAATAGTTTAATAATCATGTATTCAATAGAATATTGTTATAATTTTACATTAACTATTACACATTCTTCGAAAAAGAGAGAGCTATGTTGTAGCAATACTAGTTATTAATTGTTTAATGTTCTGATTGGTAGTCTGGTTTTGGGATTGAGGGATGTATGATAATAATGATGAGGTGAAACAGAGGATGAATGAGTGGACAGGGAAAAGAAATTAGCGCGAACCCATTTTGTGTACCACAATTTCCGATGGCCGGAATGTAACCCCTGGTTCAGAGGTGTTTTTTTCCAATATGCCACACGTGCCCTTAAAGTACATTTGCATGCATACTAGCCATTGTAATCCCAATGTTTGTTTAAAATGGAGTCCCAGTTCCGCAAACCAAATTATCTGTATCCAAGGTAGTATTTCTTTCTACCCCCTGAATCGAGGACCTATGGCGCCGCATTCTTAGCCATTTATTGTGGAACAGATTCTGTATTTAGGGGTATGGAACATAGAACACCTGTCGCGTATTGTCCGCTTCAAATTCCAATTGGAATGATTTTCAATGCCCATTAACCATTTGGCTGTGGTCTCGGAACCTCAGATTGCAAGTCCAAGAGTACATACACAAAGAAAGGTCTCCACATGGTTAGAGACCCGAAGAAAGCTGCCATACGAGTGCCAAATCTTCTGAAAGACAATCTACCCTAGGATGCGGCCTCACTCTGATAGCCCAGAACGATCGCATGCTTCCGGTTACGGAGGCCTACGACTTCATAGATAATATCTGCAGGCGCCAACAACAACAAACGCACTCGAATACACATACATACGCAAGTATCACCAATCTCGAAACACACTCGCACACAAACACCCATTCACGCAACAAACACACACACAATCATACCTACTGACACAAGGCAAACACACACTCACACATGAAAACGTAGTCACAGACGTCATCAGACACACACACACACACACACACACACCGACAGGTGCCAACCCACTCATTGACAGGTGGTGTGAATACACACTACCAGGTGTCAACACTCACTCTCTGACAGGTGCCATCACATACTGTAGACGTCAACACATACTGGCGGGTGTCAACATTGTCCGGTACATTCACTGCGAGGTGTCGACAGCCTCACTAGCACCCCCGCATGGCGAAGGGAGGGCTTGTCGGGCTGACGGGCGCGGCGCTTGCGCGCGTGCTTGTTAAAGGCGCCGGTGCCGCCGCCGCGGCCGCCCATCACGTGCGGGTGCGGCCCCGCCGCCGCGCTGGGGCTGGCGCCCGTGCCGCGCGTGCTCGCGCCGCCCGACATCCCCACGGCCTACAACGAGAAGGTGGTGGCGTTCCTGCGCCAGCCCAACATCATGGACATCCTCAAGGAGCGGCACGCCGCCGTGGGCACGTCGCAGGCGCTGCGCGACAAGGTGCACGCCGTGCGCGTCGACGGCACGCTGGCCCTCGACCGCCTCAGCGACGACCTCGACCTCACCATCCTGCTCAGGTGGGTGGACTCAACGAAGTGGTTTGTAATGGATTCATTCTTCGTATAAATGAAAAATGTTGCTACAAAGAGTTCTTCTTTACTGAACAATGAAGGCTGAAAAGTTATTTATTATCTTCTTCTTCTTCTTCTTCTTCTTCTTCTTCTCCTTCTTCTACTTCTTCTCCTTCTTCTTCTTCTTCTTCTTCTTCTTCTTCATCTTCTCCTTCTTCTTCATCTTCTCCTTCTTCTTCTTCTTCTTCTTCTCCTCCTTCTTCTTCGTCGTCTTCTTCCCGTTTAAAGTAAACTGTGCCGTACGGGTGCCGCAAAGAAGTCACATCCCTATAAAACCACTGAGTAATTGAAAAAGTAAACAAAGCACTGGAGCGGCCTGAATCAGAATGTTTGCCGCCTCAGAATCACCCCAAGACTATGTACTCGTACTTGAATTCGTGCAAAGAAGTAATGTTCGCAACTCCTATGAAAGAGTATTTGGCGTACTCATTTCAAAATGCCGGACTCCAGTGCTAACGTCGCCGCGTCCGTCAACATTTCCTTCGAATGCCAAAGTCTCACTTTCTGTACTAGTTACGTAAATTACTATTTCTTAATTTAATGTCAGCGGATTCTGGATTAATATCCTAAAGGACCACAAGCATGTCTTAGCTATGGGACCCTCCAATAATTTTGAAATATTGATAATAATGAACATGATACTACTCCCCGATGAGTCACACGTTATTTTTTCTGTTTTTGACGTTAAATAAACAAAAATAAAGAAATGTAATCCAAATGAATGAAACAATTTCAGTATGTTTAATAATTTTTAAATGAATTAAGTAAATTTTACTGCCTATCTGAATTAGATAAATTGATTATTTGTTATAACAATAATAAAATAGTTTATATTTATGTAAGTATTTGTAAAGTAATTTTCAATTTTCTCTAAAAAGTGCTGGAGGTCCTTAACTATGTGCTTTGTCTTCTGATGGTTAATTCACCCATTACAAAGTGACAAGAGCCTAAAATTGGTTGATTATAATTTGCAGATTAAAGCATGATGCTTGAAAAACAAGTTTTACGCTTTAGGCATGTCCATGTTTATTTTTCTCTATGTACTGTATTGAAAACTCATTATGAACCTTTACAAATTCTTTCTCACGTCACCTTTATTTTATGTAAATTAAACAGGAAACTTTCCGTAGCAATGTTTTGTGTGTATTTTTCAGATTTGTGGTTATGATAATTTGTGTTTATTTCATTGTACATTGCTTATTATAATCAGCCCATAATTTTGAGTATAATGTTGCAACAATCTCTTCCTAAATTATACTTGTCGCTTACTTCGCTAGAAGGCTTGATGTCAGCTGTGAAGAAATAGAGAAAACAAATATCGATATGAACTATCGAGAGAGGTAAAGGAAGTGTATTTATTAAGAAATATGGGACGTGATATGGAGTTAAGAAATTTAGCAGATCAAATGGTTATCTCCTGGTGCTATTTCACAGTTTATGAAAATATATGCGTTAGACACCTGCCGAGTTGCTACACTCCTCCGTTCATGCGTTTCAATTCAAGGAATGGTGAAACGGCAATACGCATGCGTAATCTGAGAATCCGTTAAAGAACACGTGTGACTTTTGTATTCATTTATTTATCAAATCAGTATTTCGTGTGTAATGTTTCGGAAGAATAGCAAACAAATTAACGATCCGCTATGACTGGTAGTTTCTGCCTTCCCCAAAATACATATTTTGCTGTGAGACGTGCTGCGAGATATCTGATATTCATGGCTTCGTGCTAGCTCGAGCAGGCGCCCACTCGTGATAAGATGACTGACTGTCAGTATCACTTCCTACAGCTTTGCAGATACCACGAAGACTGACGCTGTGGGTTAAGGGAAGTCCCTGAAAGGCCAGGAACGGAAACTTTTCCGCGAGGGGGGTTGCGGGAGGCGGTGGACGTGATGCAACGGAGCGGAGGAAGTCGTCGTCCTCGGGTCGCGCTGCCCCGCGCCGCGCCGCGCCGCCCATTGACGAGGGAAAGGAAGCTCCTTGCCCTGGGACGGCGATATTGTCGGGTGCGAGCGTTGGGACGTGGGTGGGGCGGCGTTGCGCGGCGTTCCCCATTCTTCCACGCAAGTGTCGGGTGTCTGGGGCCGCGCGGGGCCGTTTTTTCGGCGTCGGCCGGGCCGGGCCGGGCCGGGCCGGGCCGGGCCGCGCCACACCGCACCTCCCGAGGCTTTCGGCGAAGGCCCTAGGTGCGCGGGGCTCATTGTGGTGATGCACAATGGGCCGAAACATTTGGTATACAAAAATTAAATACGAGAGCCACGTCGCCGGCAACTACTGCTGCAAAGCGTGCAGTACTGCCCGCGACAAGAAGGGCAAGAGCATAGATGCACGGTAATACCTTAAGTGACCAAACTTTTATGTAAGGGTAATCGTTATATTACGAGGTGGAGCTATTAATTAGCGAGATGAAATCAATTCCAGCTGATGCGGTATACATTCAGTGATCCGAAAGTGATAGGAAAATTGTGTTTCATCATGACACTTTATTGAATGGGAATGCTGCAAAAAATTGGGCTCAAGGAAGTATTTTATAATGGCTTCATTCCTCGTATAAATGAAAAATATTGCTACAAAGAGTTCATCTTTACTGAACAATGATAGCTGAAAAGTGTATTAATTATCTTCTTCTTCGTCTTCTTCCCGTTTAAGCCACCGAGAGACTTCATTTGGATCTCCTTCACGTCCCTGTTACTATTCAATTAATGTCTTCGTTCTCCCGTCGGATTTTCGAGCTAGTTATATTTTTTCAGTTAAACTTCAATATTTTAAAATCGCAGCAAAATGTCTTTGGTATTGTTTCGACCCACTGTAACACGAGGTCATCGGCCTCTCCGACTCCACCTCACCTCCACCCCTCTCCGGCGCACGCGCGACCTCGCTTAGCGCCCTGACGAATTTCCCTTTGGGGGTGGCGTCAGCGCCTCTCGCCCTCGCGCGCGCCCGCGCAGGGCGGAGCTACTGCGTCGCGGAAATTACCGCACAACGACTGCTTCAGGATTTATTGCATTGACGCAGTTCGGCGCCCGAGTTTGTCTTCTTCCGGTGCCGCCTGCTGTGCGGGGTCTATGGTTGAATTTTTTATTTATTTTTTTTTTTTATTTGTTGACGACTAAAACCCAAACTCGAGGATAAAGAAGAGTCTTCCGTTGAATGTTCATTTCTCGTCACATGATCATGCTTTGGCCCATCTAAATATATCATTTCATAACATAAATGTATTTTATTTTTTGTGAATAAAAGTGTAATAGGAATTCTGTTGAAGTGAAAATACAACATGATAATAGCGGGCGATTGCACCTCGTATTGTGAAAATGTTTGCTTCTTTCCGTAAGAAATACATGTGCAATGATATTTTTCTTGAATATATCATCATTAAAGGATTTAATTATAAGAAAACCCCTACAAGTTATTAAGGTGGCAACGATAGGATAATAAAATAATTCGATTCACATAAAAAATTTAAATTGCTTGGGAAAAACTGAAGATTTGTAAATGCAGTTCGTTTTGTCTATTTTTTCTAATTTTAATTTACTTATTCGGTAATATATCATTCAATATTCAATAGGCGCAAAGTTATAAAGATCGAAGTTACAAAACCGCGGAAGTGTTGCATAAAACGTGATGTGCATTAAAACTAGTGTACTAAGGAAACACTCGCAAGGGCTGGTAATCCCTTTTCATGCCTACAAGGTGTGGGATGAAAGCAAGAGCATTGCTTGGAGACTCAGTAATGTTTGTCAGTACTTGAAGAGTACGAAATGATTAGTGAAACTTGTCATTCTTTCAGAGTTTTTCGTTGACTTCGGACATTTTGATTAATGTTTTTATGTACCTTCAGCATAGTATTGCGATTATTCTTCAAATACCATTTCTCAACGTAGTTTACCGAGGCGTCTTAGTATGTTACCAAGTTCTTGGCATTGCTATCATGAAATCCAGGGCTTAAAGAAACTAGAGATCATTTCGTCCATTTTTTTCGTTCATTTCTCATTGGGGCGTATGTTTACGTCCAAATAAAACATGGACTGTCATTCTTGCAATCCGCAATAGTTGACTGCTTCATATTACGAATGTCGTTAAAACTCGCTTGTATTTTACGCGTCCACCAAGGAAGAAGTTATTGAATACCAGTAGGCTACGAGTTTGTGCGATGTAAGAGTAGAAATATGAACAGTTACTCAAGGGGTGTTATCTGTTCGTTTGTTTGTTAGTTCAACCGTGTAAATGTCTTAAATCCTCTTTCAAACCAGAAATCCGACCTTTGATCGGTTTGAGTCGCGAAACAGGTGAAAAGAATGTACACTTTCCATGCCCATTGTAAAAGAACAGTTAGTTGATATGAGCACATCCCTATCTTGGCTAATGTCCTTTCACTTAGCATTTATTTAGACAATTCTTTGTAACCAATGCATTTCGTAAAATCACGTTAAAGGAAAGTAAGTAGGTCGTTTTCAACCTCAGTCGTGGCCCGAAGGGAGTTCATTTCGAGTTATTTTTTCGAGTTAAAATTTACGTATTTCTGTTGAAAATACTATAAAAGTCCTATCAATAAATTCAGTCCGTTTTCTCAAATTCATTTTACTATGATTGGCATGCTAACTTGATACGATATATTTGAACTTTAAAAAACGCTTAAAATGTTATCTCTAACTCGTCAAAAGTACGCCCGTTGAAATCGTTCAGGACAATATTGCTAACCGTCAGAAAATCCAACTTTTAAACCTTTGCAAGATCTTATATCACTTGCATGTATCTACTATGTAGAAATGAATGTACTATTTTTTAAAACTTTATCAATGTATGTGTGTATATGTTCTACAAACACTTGGGAACGACTGGAATAATTGCACCCAAATTTTGCACGAAGAGTTTTAAGAATCTGAAAAACAGAGAGTGCTCGCGATTTGAAATGTTTCTCCAAAATGTAGTTCAGAGCAATCCGAAAT